GGCCGGGCAGTTTCTCCCTTGGTCCACAGGGAAGCTCCTGGGGTTCCTCGCCGGGACTGCGAGCCGGTGTGTGTGGGGCGTTCCCTGCGCGGGTGCTGGATGCAGCTTGCAGCTCCTGCGCGCCAAGGGCCCCTGGAGCACGTGGGGACTCCCTTGGGAGCGGAGCACACCTGCTCCCAGCAATTCCCCGTGTCCTGGAGAGGCAAGGGGCTGCTCCCAGCCGCGCTCTCCGTTACAGTAGCCCAGCTATGAGGAACCCAGGCAGCAGGGAGGAACCTCTGCAGGCAGCGATGTTGGCAGAGGGAACGGGTGGCACATGCCAGTCCCGTTGGAGCTTCTCTTGGTTTTCAGTGTTGACCTGCTTCCATCTCCCATTCTCTCCGCAGGTCCAGACCCGGAATATCCGCTGTCTGCCAGACGTCCTGGTCATTAACTGTGAGGTGAACAGCTCCAAGGAGGCCGATTTCTGGAAGACACAGGCCGAGGTGGGGGAGGCACCCCGGGGCAGAGCAGGCTTGTTCCTTGGGCACACAGGTTTGCTGCGCGCCCCGCTCTGCGCAGCGGGCTCCTGCTCTCCACTCAGACCTCACCGTGCTCTGTTTGCAGAGGACATGTTGCTATTTGGCCGTGCTTGTAGCGCGAGCTGCGCGGTTGCAGTTGGAAAAGACAAGATCTCCTGCCAGGATAAAGCTGACAGGACTCCGGTAGACTCACTCTGTCGTTTCCCCAGTTCCCCAGGACCTAGGAGCAACGAGACAGTGCCCGTTTCCCAGAACGCAGGGCCCGGCAGAGAGCTGATGGACACCTGGGTTCCTCTTGATGCTTTTCTCCCTGTCACTGCCTTCTAAAGTCCCTGTCTTTCCCTCACTGCTGCCCTGGGCTGTCACCTACGTGTTCCCGAGCGCGGACTCGCTCCGTGCTGACGCTTGCCTGTGTTTCGTTGCCAGTATGCCTTTCAGAGAGCCCTAATGAAGAGAGGAGGCTTTGAGATCTCCAGAGGCAAAGAAATCTCTCTTGGCGAATGGTAGGTATCTGCTACGGCTCTAGGTGGGCACTGACACCTCCGGGGATGTTCCTCCTGGCCTTGGAGGACTCGGAGCTGCTTCTCCTCTCATGAAGTCATTATTTGCTCTTCTGTAGCGCCTTGCAGGCTCTGAAGTGGAGCAGTCATTGCCATTTTGGAGTCCCCTTCCCTTTTCTGACAAGAAAGGGTCTAGGCCTGAGCATCGGCCCTCCTTGTCTGACTCTAACGGCTGCCTTTTCCCAGACCCTTCTCACAGCAGCTCTGGTCCCACCTCTTCTTTACAGTGTTAAGAACAGCCCGACCCATATGTGGCTTGGGCAGTTTGGATTCTGCCCAGGATGCATGAAGAAACCCACCTGTGATTCCTTCCACCATGACCTTCCATGATTCTCCGGGCAGGAAGGAGCTGGGGAACCCTGACCTGGGCCCTTCGTACTCTTCCGTGGAGGAACTGAAGAACATTTGGATCCCCCACGCCATCAAGATGAGGCTGAGCAAGAACAAGGAGCTGGACATCTGCAACTGGAGCGAGAACGAGGAGGTAGAGGCTGCCGAGAGCCTCGGGGCCGCGTGGCGCGGGGCCGTGGAGGCAGAGCTGTGCGAGCACCGTGCGCTGCTGGCTGCGAGCGGGTGAGCAGGGGCCCTCACTTCCCTGCTGTGCCAGCCGGGAAGCTCCAGGCTCCCAGGACAGGCGCCTGCCAGGCTCTGGGCTTTGTGTGAGCCCAGCTCAGTGCCAGGCAGCCGCCTTGGGGCATCGCTGTCGCGCGGGCTCCGAGGTTCCTGAGGAGGAACTTCTTGACTGTGAGGGTGCCCGAGCCCCGGCACGGGCTGTCCAGGGGGGCTGCGGAGGCTCCTGCTCTGGAGGTCCCCAAACCCACCTGGATGCCACCCTGTGCTCTGGGTGTCCCTGCTGGAGCAGGAAGGTCGGACTAGATGATCCCTAGGGGTCCCTTCCAACCTCAACCTTTGTGTGATTCTGTGACTGTGTTTCCTCCGGGGCTGGTTCCCTCCTGCAGCTGAGCCCCTCCGATGACCCCGGCTCCGTGTACATCTACGATCTGATGGCCACCGTCGTCCACATCCTGGATCCCCGCACAGGGGGCAGCCTCGTGGGGCACATCAAAGTGGGGGAGACCTACCACCAGCGCAAAGAGGTGAGCGGCACCGCGGCACGAGCGCGCAGAGCCGCACGCTGCCCTCGGGAGCCCTGCCGGGACTGCGGGCTCTCGCCCGGTGCCCTCGGGGATCGCAGAGCGTCGCCGACCCGTCCCCGCTCTCCTGGTGAACCGCTGATTTTGTAGGCCAGTAGATACAGCTGCATGAGCTACAGATACAGGTTAGGTTAGTGGATACAGCCAGGAAACCAAGTGCTTCCCGTGCAGCTGGCGGAGAGGAAAGGGCTGAGGAAACGCTCTTCCCACACTGCCTGCAGGCAGTTCCTCCGGGGCGGGCGTGCGGCTAGCGTGTCCTTGCGCTTCCAGGTCAGGTTTGGGACCTCCTCCCCTTCCAGAGGAGAGGGGGCCGTGCGGGCACGTCCCTGTGAGCGGTGCCCGAGGCAGGAATCCCCGGCGCGGTGCGGCGCGCGCAGTGGGTCAGGGCTGCGCCCCTGCCTCTTATCGGTTACATCTCCCTGGAGTTTCGGGGAGGAGCTGGGCCGAGGCTCTGCCCGGCCGGGCTCCCGGCGCTTCGTTCCCACATCTTTACACATCAGCGCCGCTCAGGCCAGCAGGGATTTCCCCGCCGCGTCCCAGGAAGGGCGGGAGTTCCCACATGGCACCGTCACCCCCTTTCCCCGGTAACAGGGGAGAGGAGTCATTGCGCTTGCCTGGGGGGGCCCCTAATGGGGAGCGTCTGTGCCTCCCCGCAGGGCGTCACGCACCAGCAGTGGTACCTCTTCAACGACTTCCTCATCGAGCCCGTGGATAAGGTAGGTGCCCGGGGCGGGCGCTGTGCGGGGGGCTGCGTGGCCAGGGCGCTGGCACATCGGCGCTGGCTCCCGGCCCCTGGGTCCCTGTGTGGAGGCGAGACCCTGCGGAGGGAGGGAAGGAGGGAGAGAGGGGGGTTCTGCCGGGCTCCCCCATGCCCCTGGCTGCCCCGCAGTGCGAGGCCGTGCAGTTCGACATGAGCTGGAAGGTGCCCGCCATCCTCTACTACGCCCGGAGGAACCTCAACGCCAAGTACAACCTCGTCAGTGAGTGGCGGGCGGCCGGGGCGGCGGGGCCGGCGCGCGGCTCCCGCCTCACGTGCCGCCGCCTCGTGCCGCAGTCAAGAACCCCATCGAGGCCAGCGTGCTGCTGGCCGAGGCCTCGCTGGCCCGCAAGCAGCGCAAGTGCCACGCCACCTTCATCCCGCTGCTGCTGAGCGAGATGCCGCAGGCGGGCGACCTGGTGGGGCTGGACGCCGAGTTCGTCACCTTGAACGAGGTGAGGGGCCGGGCGCGCGCGGGGCCGGCGGGGAGCGGCGCCCGGTGCCCGGTGCCGAGCGCCCCGCTCCGCTCCGCAGGAGGAGGCCGAGCTGCGCAGCGACGGCACCAAGTCCACTATCAAGCCCAGCCAGATGTCGGTGGCCCGGATCACGTGTGTGCGCGGGCAGGGCCCCAACGAGGGCGTCCCCTTCATTGACGACTACATCTCCACCCAGGAGCAGGTACGGGCGCCCTGCGCGGCCCCGCTCAGCTCCCCGTCCCGCGGGGAGGACACGCACCCGCCGCAGGGCTCCTTCTCCTCGGGATGCGGAGGAGAACGTCAGCGCCAGCCCCAGGCTTGGGGGCAAAGGGAAGCGGGCGGGAACCGTCCCCAGGCTTCCCCGGGTGCCACCGCGGCCCTGTTCTCCATAGGTGGTGGATTACCTGACCCAGTACTCGGGGATCAAGCCGGGAGACCTGGACGCCAAGATCTCCTCCAAGCACCTCACCACTCTCAAATCCACCTACCTGAAGCTGCGCTTCCTCATCGACGTGGGCGTCAAGTTTGTGGGCCACGGGCTGCAGAAGGACTTCCGCGTCATCAACCTCATGGTGAGCACAGCGCGGCGCGCGGCCCTCGGGCCCCCCCTCGGGCTCGGGGGGCTGTGTCCCACCCCGGCCCCGGGGCAGGGCTGGGGGGCTCGCGTGGGGGCCGTGGCCAGCAGGCCGCTCTCTGCTCGCCAGGTGCCCAAGGACCAGGTCATCGACACCGTCTACCTCTTCCACATCCCACGGAAGAGGATGATTTCCCTGCGCTTCCTCGCCTGGTACTTCCTGGGTTAGTTACCGCTCACTCCGCGCCTTGGGGGCCGCAGAGGCCCCCCCGAGCCCCCCGCACCCTCCCCCCCTCCTCACGCAGCCGCCGTCCCCAGACTTGAAGATCCAGGGCGAGACGCACGACAGCATCGAGGACGCGCGCACGGCGCTGCAGCTCTACCGCAAGTACGTGGAGCTGAGCCGGCACGGCAGCGACGCCGAGGACTTCCGCAAGGTGCTCAAGGGCCTCTACGAGAAGGGCCGCAAGCTGGACTGGAAGGTGCCGGAGCCCGAGAGCCAGGGCAGCCCCAAGCGTAAGGCCGGGGGGAGCAGGGCGGCCCCGGCGCGGCCCCCAACGCCGCCCCCCTCACGCTCCGCTTTGTCCCCGGCAGATTCCTCGGTTTTCCCGCCGGTGCTGGCGCTGTGAGCGGGCCCCGGGGCGAAGCTCCCGGCTGGAAGCGGCAGCGCGGGGCCCCGCTGCGCGGCGGAGGCGGCGCTGGGGGCGCTGCCCGGGACCGCGGTCATAAAGCAGCGAGGCAGCCTCGAGCGCGGCGCCGCGTCCTCCTTGCGCGGGAACGGGCGCGGGAACGGGAATGGGAACGGGCGCGGGAACGGGAATGGGAACGGGCGCGGGAACGGGAATGGGAACGGGCGCGGGAACGGGAGCCAGAGCCGGCGCCGGAGGGAGGGAGGAGCCGACGCTCCCGCTTGACCCGCCCCTAGGGGCGGGGCCAGTTTAAAGAGGGCGTGTCCTACATGCGGGGGCGTGTCCTACATTTGGGGGCGTGGCCCACGCAGGCAGTGGCCGCCGCGGGGGGAGCGCCAGGAGGGCGTGGCCCCCGTGGAAAGGGTGGGGTCGGCCCGAGGAGGGCGTGGTCATCACGACGAGGGCGGGGCCCACGGGGGGAGAGCCTGAGGGCGTGGTCAAGCAGAGGGCGTGGTTTCTACAGGCTCCTCCCCCCGCGCGGGGCCGAGCGCCACGCGGGCCGGGGCCTGGCGGCGCCGCGGGGTCCTCGTCGCTCGCCCGGGGCTGCCCGTGGCGCTGCC